AAAAAAAAAAAAAAAAAAAACACATAGTAAAATTAATACCTTCTCCGCTTCGCATCGAAGCTAAAAAAAATTAATTTACTACCATTACTTTTAGTTCAATTTACAATTTTGAAATTGACATCATAAAATAGGTAATTTTATGAGAATTAAAAAAATTGTATCGTTAAGGTTAATATGTATGTAGTCAGCAAATTGAATATTTATAGTAAAAATATCAGAAAAACTCAATATTTTTTTGCATTTTTATCGTAAATTACGATAAAAAGGGGCAACTAAGTCCATTTGGCTGACTGACTATCAGGCACGTAGACAAGGGTGGGCCTGGCCCCCCTTAAATTTAATGTGGCCCAGAGCCGGCCCCCCAAATTTAAAATTCAATTATTTTTACGAATTATTAAAAACGTGCTAGGCCTTATATACATTGAAATTATTATTAATTTGTGATTACTATTGAGTAATATAGTTATTATTATGGCTGCATTTTCATTTTTATATTCATAGAAAACGTTATTTGAAAGAGATCATGTTCTAGACGTAATAATAAATGGAATAGCAATTACTCCAAACGTGGTTGTAGGTAAATTTTTTTTTAACTCTGGTCTAACAAATGATAACAAACTACCAAGTATCTGCATTGATTAGAATCTAGTTGATTTCAAAATTCGATAGAGTATACTCTATGAAAAATTTTTTGATAAATCTTATCTTTAATTTGTTTCTTTTTTTATAATTTAATACTTACAATAGGTAATTTATTTGTTTTTATTAATTTGTTATTTGCGTGCTCTAAATAATAGTAATAAAAATATGACTAAAAAAAGGCAAGAATTGTTTTTAATTTTAAATAAAATAAATTTTGCATTGTTTATAATGCCTTTCATTTTTTTTCATCCAGTTACACCGATTTCGTTCAAATATTCCTTCCAGCTACATCAGGAAATAAACTGCAAACAAAACAATAAGCTGTACTATATTCCAAGTGTGGTTGTTCAATATACCAAGATGGATTAAAACGATGTGTTTCTCGCTTTGGGTAAATATTTAATTTTGGTTGATGTGGGCCTTGCATGATTAGGTATTATCTTTGATTATCTGAAGTTATTTTAGTTCTGAGTCCTGGATCATGATGAACTTTACTACTCACAGTATCTTTTTCGGTAAAATTGTCTGAAACTGTTTCTATCTGTGTCATTAAGACATTACATCTGTCCATTATGTAAGAGGAAAGTTTAAGGATGTGTGTTATAGCATCTTTAACTTCAATTACAAACTTGTAACTATTTACAACTTCATCTTCATGAAGTTTTTGAATTATTGGTTTACACATATCTATATAATCAGTTAAATTTTAGCTTCGATGCGAAGCTGAGAAGGTATTGGTTTTACTAAGATGTGTTTTTTTTTTTGTGTCTGTTATCACTTTTTCTCAGCTCTCGCCGAACCAATTTCTTTCAACAATACGTCAAAAGATCACAAATCGTATCTAGTCGAAGACATTACCCTCAAAAATTGAAAAAATTTTTTCAATTTTTTTACTAAAAACTACCGTAACTTTTTCAAAAATGAACATATCAATATAATTTTTTTTTTTATAAATGCTTGATATCTTTATCTATCATTTGGTATATATTTTTTGTAAATCTGACACTTAACCTGCCCACAGGGGGGGGATTTAAAATGACAACTTTTTCAACTTAACTTTTGAAAATGTTCCGGAAAGTCTGACACTTTTATATATATCTTAAATTAAAGGTAATGTAATGTACTTTATTATGAAAAAAAAAAATTGGACTTGTCTTCGTTGTGAAAATGGCTACCAAATGCTATTTTTGTGTGAAATTTCTCGATTTTATATTTTACATTTTTTACTTTAAAATGCTATAACTTATTGAAAAGTGTATGGATCAACACAATTTTTTTATGAAAAATAATATTTTTTTATAATCCTTTTTTCATTTGACATACTTTATCTTAATCAGTATATTAATAAGGAACTAGCAGATCATGTAGCTTTTGAAATAATACACCAATTTTTTAAAATTAAACACTATCTAAAGATTTGCATCGAAGCGTTTTATTTTGATAGTGATTTTAATCACTATCAGATATCATTATACTTGATCCAACTATGCCACGTCACCACTGTGCCGCGACCCCCCTGTGCTGGGTTTTTAAACTGACCAGCACAACCAAAGATGTTTCCTGTTAAATCTGAATATTCAAAATTTGTTTCTGAACTTTGATTAGTGCAATCACAATGATTAAGTTCATTAATAACTTTTGATTCGCTCTATTTTTGAATTGCATTGGTTTCCATAAATTCAATTTCAGAAACATGTGCATTGTCACTAGCCTTAATAACAGATATTGGTGACTGGACATCGGAGGTTGGACTTAATTTTGAGTTAACCTAACAAAATTACTCATCAGTTAGCTAGTTTACAAAATAAGCTATATTTGCTTTTTAAATGGTTAATGATATTTTAGATTCAGTGTAATATTGGGACTAGTTTTAAAACTAAGCTTAGATTTTAATAACATGACAATTTATAATATTTAATATAATTTTTTTCTAAGCTCAAAGGATGAGTTAAGAAATAACTATATTTTAATTGTGACTTTATATACAAACATTTTCTAATAAACTTGATGAAGCCACTTGTAAATTCTTATTAGAAGCTTTAAGTGCAGCTACAAATGGATTCTTAGAAGCCCCTGGTTCCTTAACTCTAATACGTTTTCCATTGTGACAAGCCGATTCATGTCTGGTCTTAAAATCGTTGTCAAATATACTTCCACAACTTTCACATTGCACTTTTCTACGTTTACCCATATTTAAACTTTGGATTTAGGCAGTCAGAATGCCTTAAAAGTTCAAATTTATTAGTAAATTAAACATTTTTAGACTACTATTAAGGACTACAAACTTACACAAATTTTTTTAATGTATCATTTACTTAAGTACCTATATTTTGGATTGGGTACATTTTTCCGTATTTTTATTTCCGCAAACCTGATTTCTGCATGACCATTTTTCCGCACGGACATTTTTTATGTATATAACAAATGTCAAAATAAACTCAATTTTTTTATTTTCGAGTTACCATGACAACTAGATCACTGCATTTAACAAGACCGTTTGAGACGATCCGTTTTTGTTATTTATTGACATTTCGATATTTTTCGCGCATAGAACTTAAAATTTCTAGTAAATAATGATTGCAGAAATTGTCAGAAACTTCCTTTTTCTCGATGGATATGTCTATCACTCGCGATTTTGTGATTCTCGCCGACATTGGGAATGTCAAAGAGTACGTTCAAAGTAATGCAAGACTCGAGCGATAACAAATATACTAGAGCAAAATGCGGACATAATCGTGTTTAAAGGGACTGTGGCGAGTCTTCGAATCATACGAGCAACATGTTGAAGATGGTACGGAGGACAGGTATTTGTCAAATTTGGTTCATAATTTTTACTTGTGAAGGTCATTCGGTTATTTGCTAAAATTTTTGGAAGCTTGTACATGCGAAAAAATGTCCGGATACCTATAATTTGGCATAAATTTAAGTTATAGATTACATTATGTGTATTTTCAATAAGGATTATATTAATGTTTTACTATTAAAATTTAATAATTGCGAACTTAACTTAAGGTATTAATACCTTGGTTTTTTTTTGTTCTTTATGATTTATTATGTTTATACTCTTGGCTCTTTTACGTAAATATTTTAATTATTTTTGAAATTTTAAAAATGGAACATATATAAACAACTTTATTAATATAAATAAAAATACAGCGGACTGCTCACTTTGTGAGTTGCCTATAGACACAGTTTACCAATTCAATACGGTTGTACATAGCATTACAGTTAAAAATGAATACAGATATAAATAAAATAAAATAAAGATAATAATTAAATTAACAGTAGATAAAATTTGAAAAATTAAAAAAAAAAAANTAGCTTTCGCTGCTTTAGCTTGCCTGATCGTCCTAACTAAGACCCCGTCAGGGCCGGGTGAAGAATCGATTGCCATATTTTTAATTGACTTTTCTATCGAATCGAATGATATAAGAAATGCGTCAGCTTCGCATATATTGGCATTGAGATCGTACGACTCGCGAATTTTGTCATTGGGTATCTCAAAAATGTTCTTGAAATGTTGCTCAAGGGCATTCATTTCGATTTTCAGCTCGACTCTCTTTGACGTGTTCAGTAGATGATTCGCAACCTTACGCCGTTGGTTGGCATATTGCCATTGGGCGAGATCATAATAGTAGCGGTCTCGTGTTCTTAGTCGCTGTCGTTTCGACGCCCGTTGCGGGTTTGACGATTCCTTGTACCGGCGATCCATATTATTTTCCTGCCGTTGCTTGCGTTTTTGGTAGTAGGTGACTGCGGGATGTTGCGGACCGGGTAACTGTTTATTTGCCTCAAATAAAAACACTAAGAATTCCGAAACGAGCTTATCGAAACTTTTAGTAAGTTCGGGCAACTGAGCCATGCCGGCAAGATTCGCGAACTTTTCGGCGTACGCGTTGGATTCTAAAGCTAGTATGCGTAGATTGTCATTAACTTGATCATTAGCGTGTGCCTCAGTATTTGCGGCGCGGTCATTTTGTTCTATTGGGTTCTGTTGTGACTGAAGGCCGGGAGTTGCATCGATGAGTCTCTGTGCTCTAATGGCTGCACAGGGGCCGGACGCTCTTGCTAAATGTCCGTTCACAGAGATGAACTCTTTCCCACAGCCGGGGCAGCGAGATTTCGGCTTTGCGCTCATGGTCTCGGTAGTAATTCGATAGGGCGGCAATAGGACGTTAGAAATCACTGCGCGCACGGTGTATACGCGTTTATGGATTTCTACGCACACGTTGTATATGCGGTGTTAGTGGTGTAGGTCGTGGCGCGTCGGTTCCGATATAGCTGCAGTTCTCGATAATGTAGGACCACTGGACGCCGATAAGATTAAGATTAAAATTAAACTTACGTGTTGCGCTGTTACGGCGGTCGTACATTACAGAGATTTTCGAAAGAATGTGAATATAGAATGTGCTTGGAGTAAAATAGAAGGCTCATAAAAGCCTCATAAAGCTAAGATAGCAACTTGCTCCTTATGAGCAATGAATGCAACATAAAATACATCTGTGTTGTACAGAAATCAGCCACAAGAACCAGCGTTAAAGTCTCTGAGAAAAACAGCTGAACAGATTTAAGGATTCAGTTACAATAAAACGTTTTAATCAGCTGATCGAATAGAAGCAAGACACTTAACATTGATAAGACATGATCATATTACCATGTAATGATGTGGCATTCTATTATTTTGGACAACGAGAAAACTTCAGAACAGCAGCTTAGATAAACAAAACGACCCACAAATACGAACTAGGATCCAATAAACACGATTTACAAACTATTAATATAAAGAGTACAGCTAAACGGTAAAATAAATTAATCAAACAAAGAGTAAACTTTTCACTGTTATCACTGTTACTCATAAATTAACATATTATAATTAACTAATTGAACATAAATAGTATACATTTAATATTATTAATTAAAAACTTTTCGCAAATTTAGATTACTAAATGAAAACGCTTACTTCTATAATTCACGTCGTTTAAGTAGGTATACTCAGTGCTCGAATTGGGGGGGGGGTGCGCAGGGGGACGTAGCTCCTCTACTTTTTTTTAAATTTTTTTGCGCACCCCAACTACTTTTTTTATGAGAACGGTGGAAAATACCACCTCTTTTTTCTTTTTTTTAAATATTAGTATGATAATGAAATATAATTTATTAATAAATACTAAATAAAGTAATGAGTAAAAAAAAAAAAAAAGATCTTCAAAATGCTAGGGACGCAGTTTTCAAATTGTTAAGTTGAGCTCCCCTACTTATTTTTGGCCAATTCGAGCACTG